TTCAGTTACAATGGCGGGTGGGGTAAGAGTAGTTAAGATGGGGCCGGGCGCAGTGGCTCCTGCCTATTATCCCAGCACTTTGGGAGGCCAAGGAGGTCAAGAGATCGAGACCATTCTGGCCAACATGGTGAAACCCTGTCTTTACTAAAAATACAAAAATTAGCCAGGATTGATGGTGCGCACCTGTAGTCCCAGCTACTGGGGAGGCTGAGGCCGGAGAATTGCTTGAGTCCAGGAGGCGGAGGTTGCAGTGAGCTGAGATTGGGCCACTGCACTCCAGCCTGGCACCTGGCAACTGAGCGAGACTCTGTCTCAAAAAAAAAAAAGAGTAGTTAAGATGGAAGGGTGGGGTGAGGAGTATTCACATTATTATAATAACAGTTAAGATGGCAGGGTGGGGTAAGCCATCTTAACTGGGGGAAGCTCAGGGATAATGGTGAACTGGGGGTGGGGGGATGGGGGGGTCATGGTGTGGAGGGGTCATCAGCTGAGGCAGGCAGGACTCAGACTTTCTGGGTCTGGGCTTGCACATGGAGGCCTGACAGAGATAACCAAACTTTTTTGTCAGTTGTGTTTCTAACTGTAAGTACCCGGGACATTTTTTATTCACAGATAATTGTTGTCTTGTTTTGATCCTTTTCAGAAGATGGTTTATAATAAACTATAGAACTTTAACACATGCTCTCAAATACAAACTTCTGACAACTTTGGAGATTGTAGCATTAGAATAAAGGAAAATGTACAGGACTTATAAAGAGCTGAAATGTTCGCAAATATCAAACAGAAGAGTTAACTAAATGGACTGAGCTCAGAAAGCTGAAGCAACATTTTAGACTTTTGGTCAGACTATTGCTGTTCCTTGTTTTGTTTTTCATAGTTAAGGAAATGTATTTTGAACGATTTACAGCCTTTAATAATTGAGTAAGATTTGCTCCCATGAACAAAAACTTGAAGCATGTTTGTTTCTCTCTGCCTGGTTCCTCTAGAAGTTGGAAACTATCTGTGAGTATTCTTATGGTAATATAGTTGTTTTAATCAGTGCATTAATAATCATTTTTCTTTTCCAACAGAACACAAATGGAGAAAGTAGTTATTTAACAAGGTTTTGACTGGAAGGGTACGCTTCCCTTTAAGGAGTCAATCTTGACTTGCAGAGCCAATAAAAGCCTTGTGGGAGAAACTGGTCTCATACCCTTGCCCATGCAGTCCCTGTGCAGGGTTCTTTACAATGTACAGGTAATGAATGTCACTTTCTAACAGGTCCAGGAGCTCCAAGTTTATCTTAGGACCTTAAGATAAACTCACAGGCATTTGAAATTCCTCATGGAACAAACTTCCATCAAAGCCAATCCAGAAGGCCTATGTAATAAAGAACTATTCTGGCTGCACTTTACGGAATTAGGCCAGGTGTATGACTAAAATCTATTTGCAAACCATTCAGTCCTATGAGGATTTTTTTTTTTCTTTAACAAAAATGAGGACTGGAGAGAGAGAAATCATGTTTCAGCACTTACACATTTGTCATTAAATTCTAAACTCATTCGTTGTTTTTAAGTTTTCACCTACATTTTAGACTAACCCTGCTTGCTCCTGTGAACCAACCAGCAATCTCCAGCTGCAGTTCAGAAAGAACAAAAGGAATGGGTAATGTAGAAATCTGGATCAATATTCTGGTTCTGAGCGATTATCCTGCACATCCTGCCAGGTGATGGAATAAATCAGATGCCCATCTGCTGGGGGTTTCCTTTTTGGGAAAGTAAGACTAAGAAAGCTAACCAAAGCCAAGCACTATGCACCCCAACCCTCGCAGGCATAACTATAGCCACCAGTTACCTGTTGGTGTCACAAGGCATCCTTTTCTCTGCCTTGTTGGAGGAGGACTCAATTCCACAGCTTTGCCTCAGCATTCAGCTATGATAAGGAGTCCATGCAACCTCCCGAGACACATTTTTGTCCCAAACTCAATTCCAAGCTTTGGGTCAAAGCCGTAGGAAGGAAAACTGGATCTGAGGGATCCAGAGGCAAATGACAACAGAGGTTAAAAGGCAGAGCACAGGTGAGCGCGACTGATTCCTGCCAATTAAGCCAACCCCAAGCTTCCTGTTTCATGGATAAAGGGCATGTTGGTATCCATGGCATAAATGAGGTCTAGAGAACTCCAAGGCTATGATGGTAGTGGGGATAGAGGCATAGGTGAGAGCAGATAATTTCTGTTCTCTAGGCCCTCCCTGCTTCATGGTGCAAGCTGCTTTGGCAGTCATGGCGGCACCTGCCAAGGTCACTGGGTCTCGGGGATGCAAGGACGGAAGAAGGAAAGGGGGCACTCTTTCCTCTCTCCCTCACATATCCCGCGGTATCTGCTAGGAAGAGAAGAGAAGGGAACCAGGGACACCTGCTCCCCTCTTTCCAGATGGGTAGCCATTCATCTGTAGTCTGAAACCCCTTTCAAATGCATCCTAAACCCTTGGGATGCCTCTTGCTTTCCTTTCTTCTCCTCTGTTCTCTCTTCACTGATAGGTAATCATCCTTGTCCTATGGGACGCTCCCTCAGATGCATCCTCCAAACTGGAAAGAGTTAACTTCCCAAATCTTAAGCTGGTTGGCTTCAGATCTGGCCCAGGGGAAGGGAACTCAGAAGCCCAACATGCTGGCAAGAGGGTGAAGTTTCTTGCCGGTGGGGCCTTTGGCCTCTCTCTCCCTGTGCAAACTGGTAAAAGACCTCAGAATTGTTTAGCTGTCCTTACCCCTCCCCTTGTTTCATTTTTTTTTTTTGTGGTTTTTGAGATGGAGTTTTGCTCTTATTTGTCCAGGCTGGAGTGCAGTGGCACGGTCTCAGCTCACTGCAGCCTCTGCCTCCAGGTTCAAGGGAGTCTCCTGCTTCAGTCTCCCAAGTAGCTGGGACTACAGGCACCCGCCACCACATCCAGCTAACTTTTGTCTTTTTTAGTACAGACGGGGTTTTGCCATGTTGGTCAGGCTGATCTGGAACTCCTGACCTCAGGTGATCCACCTGCCTCGGCCTCCCAAAGTGCTGGGATTATGGGTGTGAGTCACTGCGACTGGCCTGTTTCATTTTGCTACGTGTTTTCTAATAACCCCGTTTGTCTGTTCTTGCTTTCAGGCCATCAAACCTGCAGTCATGCAGCTGGAGCCTCTGATGATGGCCCCTTCTGCTGGGACCCTTAGGCCTCTGAGGGAGCTCTGGCGGCCATTTCCCCAAAACAGGACCCCCGTCAGCAGGAAGCAGTTAAGATCGTCTTTGTCCTTACCCTTAATCCAGCGGCAGTTAGACGTACTTCTTTAGAGGGGCAATGAGACAGCTAGGTGGGAGGGGCTTCCCGCAGAAACTCCAAACGGCCTGCACAGTGAGGTGGAGCCTCGGGAAGATCAGGGCATTTGCAGCAGGGAGGAGCCTGGCCCTCCCTTTCCTGGGCAGACTCTGAGATTCCTGCTCCGTGAAGGGGGGAGGGGGGGCGAAGCACTCTAGCAGGGACTCTGGCCAGCGAGACTTCCTGTTTCCCCCTCTTCTTCCTTTTCACCCAGTAAAACCCTGTCTCACTCACCATTTAAATTGTCCACGAGCCTGAATTTTCGTAGCCATGGGACCAAGAACCCCATCTTCAGCAGAACTAACGCAAAGTCCTGCAGCATTATCACCCCAGGTTGTTCCTGACGCGCTTCTTGGGAATGAAGACCCATCTTCTAGCTTCCGTGGCCCAACACGCAGCCTGCACTGATCTGCCCCCCCCACCCCCCCGTCCCCCACCTGGGACTTTCACTGCACCAGGTTTGGGCTCCACTCCTCCTCTGAGGAAGGCATCAGCAACCCCATCCTCAAACCCCGGCACTGCCTTCCCACCTCCTTGAGCCCTCTGTCCCTGAACAGCCTCATGCATCCCTTCCTGTGACTGGTCACTGGCAAGCACGAGCCTCTCCCAGGGCCTCAGGTCTGGGGTGTAGGGAGTTGTGCGGCGCAGATGCCTGCATGCTAGTTGCAGCCCCTTCCTTCCGGGTTTGAGGAGAACTGTCTCAGTAGGGGGCTCTTATTCACCCTGCAGCGGGTGGACCCCTAGGGTGCTGGGCTGGCCTGAAGAAATGGCAGGAGGCGGGGCCTTTCCCTTGGGTGTGAGTGACAGGAATGATGCCTGGACACTCATCAGAGAACTTGCCCCCCACCCACCATGGCACCCAGCACTGAGTGCGACACTGCAGATGCGGTTTCATTCCAGAACCCAGCCTGTGGCTGCTCAGGCATCTGAAACCAGATGGCCTGTGTCGCCGGCCCCAGCATGCTGTGATGAATACTGAGCTGCCTGTTGAGTATCTCCCCAGGGATGAAGGAAAGCACGGAGCTTTCTCAATGCCCAGCACAACTCTTTCACTGAACGCTATTAGATTTCATCCTGTTAGATTGTCAGGAGCTTTTGGGATTCTGATTTATTCATCTAATACACTTATTTCTCCTTATCCACCAATTGGTAAGTTCTCTAGGTCTTCATCCCATTATGAGTGAAGGTGTTGGCTGCGTTGCAGATGCAATTCTCTCCAAGGTGTGTCCCGTCCTTAGTTATAGCTGAACAGGTATAAACATTCTCCTAACCACTCTTACCCAGACTCTCATTTATTCAGAAGTCTTTGTCAAATATGTATGTTGCCCGCATTTCCCTCATCAGCTAGTCTAACAATTAAGAGAAGGAAATGAGCTGCATCTGTACACTTATTCTTGGTAAACCCAATCTGGGGCCTGATGCTTGATTTAGCAAGCAAATTCCTGGTTGCAAAGGGACCAGATTATCAAAGATGAGGCTGTGCCTTTCAGAAGAGGAATTCAGAAAAAAGGTCTGAAAGAGGGCAAGACCTGCCTTGGAGGAGGGCAGCCTTAAAACAGAGAGCAAACCAATAGCAAAGGCTGCAGAGCTGGGGAGGAGGGCATGTTGTCCCAGTCAGAGATCTGTCCGATTAGGGACACGGGAGGACACAGGGATTTGAGAAACTACCAGAAAGGTCACATGAATGTTTATTACAACATAGAAAAGAGGGAACGGAAGAAAAAGGTTTCCAAAGCCATATTTCCAAGGATTAAAAAAAACACAAACTTGGAATGCCAAAGAGATGCCATGCTTTATATATTTATAATAGGAAGGTGTGTGTATGTATAAATATGTACATGGAGATATGTACACGGGTTTTGATTGTCATACATGGTATTTTTCATTGCATGTACGGTAATGCTGATCGAATGAAGGGTTTTAAAGCTGGCAGAAGGCTGGAGAAACTGGACCGATGCTCGGCCACTAGAGGGCGCAGCGGAGACCCCTGAGCAGCTCCCACGGAAGGTCTGCGGGGCTGGGTCCTGAGGCTGTGGGTTGGGGAGTGGGGGTGGGGTGGAAGCTAAGCTGTGGACGGGCCTGGGCCTAGGCTGCAGGATTCTGGCCAGGGCAAGTCTGGAAGCGTCCCTAGGTCCCCGACATTAGACATTTTCTTCCAAGAAGGGTTCCAGTCATTGGAATAGCCTGGAAATACCCTCTTGGTTGAACTGCGGTGGGGTGGGCTCCCAGCAGGTCTGGGTAGAAGTGAGATAAGAAATACCCAGGAGCTAAGAGTCTTCTCTAAGAGCAGTGAGGCCGGGCGTGGTGGCTCTCGCCTGTAATCCAAGCACTTTGGAAGGCTGAGGGGGTGGATCGCCTGAGGTCGGGAGTTTGAGACCAGCCTGACCAATATGGAGAAACCCTGTCTCTATTAAAAACACAAAATTAGCTGGTCGTGGTGGTGCATGCCTGTAATCCCAGCCACTTGGGAGGCTGAGGCAAGAGAATGGTGAGAGCTGAGATCGCACCATTGCACTCCAGCCTGGGCGACAGAGTGAAACACCATCTCAAAAAAAAAGAACAGTGGAAACGCACAGCAATTAATTTAACAGAAAGAAGAGAGACCCAAACAAGCCAATCACGGTGTCAAAACACTGCAAATCACAACACTCGTTCGTATGTAAATTCAGTTGATACAGAACCAGTTGTTTTGTTTTTATATATGTATATATGTTGTTTTTTATAAAACTGGCACCACACCGAACAGCAGGGAACTTAGCCAATGAAAAGGGCTGGCCACAGGTTCTCACAGGTGCTCAGGCCTTCCAGGGTGACAGTGCCCACGAGGAGCCTGTTACAGCCACCATCACCTTGTCCCCTGCTTGAAACATCCAATCAAGTGCTAATCCAGAAAACGGTGAATGGGGACCCCCCCTCCCCATTCTTTCCTCCCTGGTTCCTGTGCTGGGGCAGATGGGTGGGACCTTCCTCTCCTCTGGGCAGGTCCACCTTCCCCTTTCCACAGGACGCCAAGCTGGGGCCATGGAGAATGGGCACAGCCAGATTTGGCACTGAGCCCATGCACCCTAGGAATGCATGGAAGAGATCCACAGGGCAGGGGCCCTGGAGACAGATGAAACAGGTGCATGTGGGCTGGGCAGGGGAGGGATGTGGTGAGGGCAAAAGGTGCTCGCAGCCAGCCAGTGCCCATCCCGGAAGAGGGAGTGTGGGCTCCTTTGGAGATAAGTCCCAATCCTGAGGCTCCAGGCAGACCCAGGCCTGCTTCTCCCAGCAGCCAAAGGGGCTGTGGGCTGTGAATGTGTGTCTCTGTTCACGTGGGGGGATGGACGGTGGCATCCACACCTGCCTGGATGGTTGGCATTTTGGCAAATTCAGGCAGGGAAGGAGAGGGGTTAGGGGTCAAGGTTCCCCGGCTAAATGCAAATCCAGATGACTCGCACTGGAAACTCAGGACACACAAGGGTGGGCTACAGGGTACATTTCTGCCCTTGGCAGTAGCATCAGAAAGGGAGAGGGGAATTGGGGCCGGAGTTTCTGTTCTGCTAGAAAGAATCTTGGCTCCAGGATTGCCAGCCACAGCAAGGAGCCTGGGCAGGAGAGGGCAGCCCTTACCCAGATGGTGCTGGCCCTGCAAGCCCTGGGCTGACGTGGGGAAGCGATGGCTGCCTAAGCCTGCCTTTGCTCCCAACCTAGAGATGCTTAAACTGAGGCAGAGGCAGTCGGAGAGATGCCGGCGGTCATCACAGCACTTGGGCCGGAACTCACTCTCAGGCTGCAGGGGGACATTTGGGGTCCCTCTGGTTGGGATTCTTCCTATCTCTGCCTGGCCTGTAATTTAGGGTGGGTGATGACTGAGCCTGACCACTTCCGTGCCCCTCTGATCCTGTAAACCTCCAGCTCTAAGAATCTTGTGGGAAGAAAACTGATGGAAAACACAGGCCCCCCAGCCTTGAACTCTCCTGCTTAGGCTGAGCTTTTTTGTGATTATTTTAAAGATCCAAGTCGGTCAGAAGGACCATAGTCACTCCCCTGACCAGGCTAGCACCTCATCCTCAAACCCAGTGCATCCCCTCCCTCTGTGGAGGGAGAACGGCCAGCCCCATCCTTGAAGCGTGCACCCCATGCCTGCCTCTGCTCACCCTGCAGCTTCACCTGTGGAGGCTGGAACGGCAGGAGTGTGGAGGTGAGAGCATCCGTTTCCAAGCACAGGACCGCTGGGCCCACTTTAGCTCTGCCTGAGTGCTGACTGCGTGAATGAATGCAAAACAGGGAGCTGTCCCCTGGCGAGGACTGCCTGAGGCCACTACCTAGCTGCTCAGTGAGCCCTCCAGAGAGGAAGCCCTGTCTCCTCAGCCTGTGGCTGGGCTTCTGTCCTGGGGGAGTTGGCCTTGAAGGCTTCAGGCTGCTCCCCAAGCCTGAGGTCGCCAGCTCCAGCTGCATGCAAGGTCAGGGTCTCTGGGGAGCTCAGGCGCAGCTGGGGGGCGGGGTGGGGTGGGGGACGGGTTCGCTCTAAAAGTGCTCTCCCACCTCCAGTCCCTCTGATGGAAGCCCTCCAACAAATCCAGAAAGAGGGAGGAATAATAGCAGTTCTCTGCCTTCAGCCACTCACTGGAGAACTTCCATTTGAATGACACGCCCCCAGCATTTATGCTCCGGGCTTTCTTTGCCCTCATCAATTTCACCATAGGAAACAGCCAATGCAATTAAAGCCTAAAGTGGGCCTGGAAGCCTGGATGGGACCCTGAGGGGCCAGCTCTTCACCCTCCTGGGTCCTGGCAAAACTGAAAGGAATTCTCGGAATGGCAGGCATCTGGGCCGGGAAGGGGTTAGCTAAAGAACATGCTTCAGGGTTTTGCCTTTGGGGTGTTTTGTGTTTTAAAGAGCCACCTGGTGCAGAAGGACCGGGGCCTCTCAGCTTCCCTTCCCCCTCGAGAGCCTAGGGCCTTCGAAAGGCCTTTGCCCCGGTCCTGGGGTCCTGCGCTGCCTTACACTGGGTGTTGGGGTCTGTGCCTGGCTTTTCTTTTTGAGAGTCGGGACCCTTTGCCCTCCAGGAGAAAAGTTAATCATGTGGCTTTTTTTCTTTCTGCAGTTCCTTTCTGCAGCATCCTCCTTACTGCTCTCAGCATGGCTGGAGCCCTGGGCTGGGAGAGCAGATGACTCGGTCCTGCGCATCAGGATGGGGAAGCGCCAATCCCTGTTCCCAATCCCAGCTCTCCTAATCCCAGCTCTCTCCTCATCCCAGCTTTCCTAATCCCAGCTCTCCTCATCCCAACTCTCTCTCTGCCACCATCCCCTGACACCCTCAGGAAGGGATACTCTTCTGGGCCTGCCTAAAGGAGGGAGCATGGGTGTAAGGGCTGCCCAGGCAGGTGGGAGCCCAGAGCCTTGTGGGGCAGGGTGGAGGCGTCCAGGTCCTTCCCAGGCGGCTTTGCCAGACACCCCCTGAGTGATGACAGGTCTCAGGAGGGGGCTGCCCCCACACATGGGAGGGAGAAGCTTATTTTCCAGGCTTGGACTAGGGGTGACTGCTGAGGGGTTGGAGAAGAGATGGCAATTGATGTCACATGTTTAGTGACACAATCCAGACTCAGGTGGGATCGTGTCACTAAACATGTGACATAATCACCCTCTTACTCCTGAGGATGTAAGGCTCTGGGATGCCTGCAATTCCCCTTCTTCTGGAGGTGCTGTAATGAGTGTGTCGATGGCACAGGCTGTGGGGGTGACCCAACCTGGCCACTTGCCCTTCCTGCCACTTAGGAGCAGAGTGTTTAGGGGCACATGGCTTACTCTCTCTCTGAGCTTCAGGTCTGACATTTGAAACTCACAAAGGTATCTCCCCTCCCAGGAGCTAAAAAGCACTGTGGCTGGATGTGTGGGACTGGGGCAGCTGAGGGTGGGGACCATGCTGACTGCCTCCTCCTTACCTTGGGAAGGCCAGCGGCGTGGCAGATTGGGGAGCGCCCCAGCAGCAGAGCTTCTGCCCTGCAGCCCCGGTACTAGGCTAGGCAGGCAGGCGTGGGCCACAGCCAGGAGCCATCAGACTCCTGCTGCTCCCATGGGGCCCTAGCCCTCCCCGCCTGAGGTCCTCGGTTCTAAAACTGACTCGGGGCTCAACATCCAAATTGACATTCGCCGCCGTCCGCGGGCCACCCACGGCTCACTCTGGCCCAAGGGAATGGCCACCCTGATCCCAGTGTCACAGTTGGGTCCTGGGAGCCTCTCATTGCCTCTGATGTTCTCTGCACACCTGGGATTCCTGCCCAAAATACACACAGCCAGGGCGCATCCTACTGAATCCTACCTGCCCTGCAACCTCTGAGCCAACAGCCTTGTCTGCAGTACCGAGGCAAAGCCCAGCTTCGTCACCAAAGGGTTGTGCGTCAGCCAAGCACTTGCCAGCACGAGAACCCCAGTTTTCAGCCGGCTGCTGTTGGAGACACTAACTCTGGCCCTGGTCTGAGGAGCCAGCTGGAACTACTTGGAGTAAATCAGCCACCATCCCTTATCTACTGAACACGGTAGTGCTGAGACCGCGGTCTAATTTAGAGGGGCGGGGGCGATATTTTGAACTGGTCCCACCCACGTGGCAACCCTCACAGCTTCATTCAGGAGACAGGCAGGGGCCTCTTGGCTTCTCCCACACATCAGTTACCCGGAAAAGGGCCTCCTCCTGGGGCTGATGTGTTCCCAGGTTTAGAGACGCAGCCCTCGGGGGAGAGGAGGATCTGGGGGTGCAGTGGCCCTCCATGCACACAAACACACAAACCCCTCTATTAAGCCATCCCACACAGGACTCAGGGTGACACCTGTCACTCAAGAAAGTCCCACCTGTGTCTGGATTGTGTCACTAAACATGCAACATAAATTGCTATCTCTGCTCCACCCCCTCAGCAGCCACCCCCAGCCCAAGCCAGGAAACTAAGCTTCTCCCTCCTATGTGTGGGGGTGGCCCCCCTGAGACCTGTCATCACTCAGGGGGAGTCAGGCAAACTCTGGGGGCTGTGTGGGGTGAAGGGCTGTGGGCTGGCAGGCATGGGAGGGGGCGGCTTCCTGCAGCTGAAGCTATTTTATCTGAGTAGAGGGCGGCTCTGCTCTCATGCAGCTTCCTCGAGAGCAGCGAGCAGCCAGCCTGGAGGATGTCCGCTGCACACAGCAGAAGGTTCTAGCTTTTTAGAGAAAACCAGATCTGATCCCACACCTTGAAGATACAGACTTCCAGACAGGAAAGAGGAAGGCAAAAGGCCTGGATTGGGATTGGTAAGAAGAAAGGACAGGACGAGACAGACACCGTCAGGCGTTCAAACACGGCAGTCCAGCCCCAGGCAGTGATGGAGGAGGGACAGTAGCTAAAGGATCCCTGCTAAGGGGCGGACCAAAGGGCAGGACAGGCCGGGAGTTAGGTCGGGGCGGGGTGGGTGAGTAGCTGCAGGGGGTTCTGTTTCTCTAGGGCTGTCGGGAGCTGTCCAGTCTGCAGGGTGCTCCAGCCCCGCTGCTCAGGCAGGACTGTGATTAGAAGGCCAGTGGATGGGGTAGGTGGGCTAGGACCCCCATCGTGGTGGCCACTACTTCCCAAGCACTTTCATTCAGCAAAATCCCTTCTCCTACTCTCATGGAGTTCTGACAGAGTCTTTGATAGACAAGCCCTTCAACGACGGACATGCCCAATGGCCCTACGTCATGTGGAGTCAGAAGCTGGACTTCGGGCCAGCTCCACTTGTTAGCGTTTCCTGTGTTAGAATGAAAATGGAATGAAACAGATGTGTAAATGTCCATCCTCTTAGTATAATTTTGGGTTCTCCTTTCTCTTAACTTCAGATTAATATTTGATCCATAGTAGCCTGGACAACTTCTGCTCGATTCTCCCCACCCCCCAGCCCCCATTAGCCATCTAGCCGTGTTTCAATCACTTCCAGAGGGGCTTCTTAAAGGGGCCCAGGGTCCCTCAGCAACTGAAGGAGTCCCTGTGTAATGCCGACAATGTCAGCCTCTAACGCATCCATCAGCAAGTAGGATTTTCAGATCCAGGTCCACAACCCCATACCATTGTTTTTGCTATTCTGAAACCCCAAAAGCTCTCAAATGTTAAGTTTTCCCTAAGTTCCTTAGCGGCAAAATTAGACTGAACTGAGCTGAGGCAATTTACAGTTTGTATAGCTCCCAATTGATGGGACTAGTCACATGTTTCTCTGCAGAAATAGTCACGTGCCTGATGGTAGGCAGGATGATCCACACTCTGGAAGGTTAGAAAGTGTTACGATAAACGGATCCATTGCCTTTGTCAAATCTAACACTTCTCAACTCGGAGACACATCTGGCCCCAATGACTTCAGAGAAAGGAGTGTGGGCCAGAAATGCGGTTAAGTATAGGGTAAATGGCTGCTAGTCTGCCCACTCCCACTTCAGTCTAATAATTTTGTGTATAAACGTCTGGCAATTCTGGCAGTTTCACCCCACGGAAGGATCCACTCCTCTCCTTCCCAGGAAAACACAAGTCACAACACATCTAGCCCTTCTATTTCAGTGGAAAGGAGGTGGGGGGTGCGGTCAGGGAGGCAGGCCCAGGAGACACCTGTGAGACTGGTCTTCTCCCCGAGGCCTCAGGCCAGCTGCAGACATAGTGGGCCTTTCCACACTAGGGTGGAGCCTGGCCATCCTCACCCCGACCCTGGTGCTGCCCTCAGGAGACCACACAGTAAGTACTTGAGGCGCTAGATTTTGAGGTGGGTGGGGTCTCAGAGGATGGATCTACCACAGTCCTGAGCCCTTTGTGAGACAGGGCCCGGTGTGGCCCGGCCCAGCAGCTGTGGCATGCCCTTGCAGTGGACAGTGGGCACGGCAAGGCGGGTTGGAGCCTGCGGGAGCATCCAGCTTCCCTGTGGGCGTTCTCATCTCCACCCCACTCTCTGGTGCTCTGGTGCCTGCGCCCACAGTGCTTTCTGGAGCAGGAGGGACTGGCAGCCCTCACAACCTGCTGAGAAAAGCAGATGCGTTTTCAAAATAAATAATATTTTTAAAAATACCCCCTTTCCACCCCCAGTCCGGAAAATGGCAGAAGAGAACATGTAATGGTCCGTGTGCCCAAAGCTGCTTGGTGCAGCCCTCACTGGGCCCCCTGGATCTCCCCAGCGGTTCCCGTGGGCTCACAGCTGCTGTGGGATGCCCTGCTCCTTGTAGCCTGTGGAGAAGAAGCAAAGAAGAGATGGTTAGACACCTGCTTTTCTCAGGATTTCTCCAGGAGGTGCCCCTAACCCAGAATACCCGCAGGAGACCTTGTTTATACTAAAGTGTAAATGGCTGCTACCATCAGAGCACAACTTTTCCTAAGGGCTTTGGCTTTTTAATGGGAAACAAAAGAATGAATCAGGAAGTGTGGAGTGCTGGGTTTACTGGGAATGTATGACAGGTGGGCATTTGGGGTGGGGGCTAAAAGGCTATTGATGTGCTCCTGAACCCACACCTGAAGCCACTCACAGGCTGGCTTGGTGTCATTTCCTAATGCAGAGCCCTGGGAGCAGGTGCCAGGCAGGCTTCCCCGAGGGTTGGGCATCTGGTATGCTGCATAGAGAGGAGGAAGAAAGGAGGAAGATGGCATGCAGAGGGGAACAGCCATCACTGCTTTATTTGGGTGTGAAAAGGTACTGTGTGTGTTTTTTTAAAGAAGATACCCTTTGAGTGGCTGAGGCATGTGGATCACCATGTCAGCAGAGTGAGACCATCCTGGCTAACACAGTGAAATCCTGTCTCTACTAAAAATACAAAAAAAAGTAGTGCCTGTAATCCCAGCTACTTGGGAGGCTGAGGCAGGAGAATCACTTGAACTCAGGAGGTGGAGGCTGCAGTGAGCCAAGATCACACCACTGCACTTCAGCATGGGCGATAGAGTGAGACTCCATCTCAAAAAAAAAAAAGATACCTACTGAAATACTCCCAGCTCTATTACATGAGCGAAATTTGCTGAGCACTTATTCTATTAGCCAGTGAACTCAGTCTGAAGAGGAGCTTTGGTGGATTGAGCTGGTTTTTCTCTCCATTCAGCAGAGTATTTCTCAATTTTGGGTGCTAGTAAACCCATGCTGGGGGTCGGGGAGACGTAGGGAATGGCAGAGGAAAGGCTGGCCATGAATGGACAGCGGTTGAAGCTGGTACGGGCATTTAGGGCCTCATTCTATTAGGGCCTCTACTTTTGTCTCTGTTGAAGCATTTTCCAAACAAAAAACTTAAGCTAAACATAAAAGCCCATTGACCAATGGGGAGACTGGGTGGGGTGTTGTGTGCAGGAGTGGGGGTCTCGGGAAGGGAGGGCCCCAAGCCGCAGCACGAGGCCTGCGGGTCCATCCCCAGACTCACCTTGGGAAACTGCAGCAGCGCAGAGTGGGAGGCAGCAGAAGGAAGAGGAGAGAGAGAAGAGAAAACACAGACTGAAAGCAGAGCCACAGGGAGCACTTGGAACATGAAGCAAAGCGGATTGATGGTGAGGCCTGGGAGATGGGACAGGGGCCATGCCAGCGGCTTCTCAGATGCCAGTCCCCAGGCAGGGGGTGTTCAGTGCTCATGGTGACAGCCACTGTGGCCAGCAGTCTGCCCACCCGGTGTGTGGGCGTGGCTGGGGACGCAGCGAGGGGGTCTCACTCTGCCAGGGAGTTCTGTCCACTGCCTCCCCAGTCCTCTATATCCTGGCCATGCCCGCACTGTTGCCCGTCATTCTTTATTCTTGTCTGCTTTTGAGGCAGAATCTCACTCTGTTGCCCAGGTTGGAGTACAGTGGTGTGATCATGTCTCACTGCAGCCTCAAACTCCCGGCCTCAAGTGATCCTCCTGCCTCAGCCTCCCAACATGCTGAGGTACAGGCATGAGCCACAGCACCCAGATCCCCCCCTTTTTTTCATCCTCACCTCATGCCTTCCTCAGATAAATTCCAGATGAACCTGAGGAGCGGCAGCTAGAGCTTTGACTGCAGCAATCTAAAGATGCTGATGTGCCCCAGCCTGGCCCCAGCCTGGCTCTATCTGAGCTATGTGCTCAGCTGTTTCTATGGAGAGGAGCCACATATATAAACATTCTTTGGGGAAGATCTGAGCCAGAGGGAGGCAAACAGGTTCTGTCTTGCAGAACTCTTGGATCAATCAGTAGTGACTGCCTGAAGCCCAGTGCTGAGAACATGTGAGGCTGTTCAGCAGAAAGTATCATGGTTGATTAGCAATGTCTGCCATGGGGATGGTGGTAGGAAGAGCCCGCCGTAGAGCTACCAAGTGTTTACTGACCCATGACCAAGACAGGCTGTTGTTGGTTGTCACTTGTTGTTATTCATAGAAATCAGGCAACATGCTTGCGGTCTCCTGACTGTAACTCCCACTTTCATCCAGGTTTCTCTGACTCCCCTCTTAGGAGTCTTTTATGGTGATGCGTTTGCTGATGACACTGCAGGCAATGCCATGTGAGAAACTAAAGTGTATTGTTACAACGGGAAAGTTTCCTCCATTTTTACAGCAAAAGGCTGGAGTGACACCAGAAAGAACAGTCCCTTATCCAGCTGTCTTCTAAAGGAGTCACTCTGGGACACACCCGTTCCGTGGTTGCTGGGAGTAATCCCACAGCAGCACCACCTCATGAGTGGCAACTATTTACACCTTGGGGGTGGGTTTAGCGGTGCAAAAAAATGCAAAGACATCCCTTGCTGAGACGGGTGAACGAGCCTGGCAGCCAGGCCGTGGTAAGAGTGAAGCGTGACTGGTTTTTGTATGCAGCCCTCAAGTCTATCCCCCTATATGGTCTGGTTGTATCCCCACCCAAACCTCATCTGGAACTGAAACTCTACAATTCCCCTGTATCATGGGAGGAACCTGGTGGGAGATAATTGAATTATGGGGATGGGTCTTTCCTGCACCGTTCTCATGATAGTGGATGAGTCTCATGAGATCTGATGGTTTTAAAAATGGGAGTTTCCCTGCACAAACTCTCTCTTTGCCTGCTGCCACCTACGGAAGCTGTGACTTGCTCCTCCTTGCCTTCCACCATGATGGTGAGGCCTCCCCAGCTAGGTGGAACTGTAAGTGCATTAAACCTCTTTTTTCCCCCAGTCTTGGGTATGTCTTTATTAGCAGTGTGAAAACACACCCCCTAAAAACACTCTCAAAAGTTTGATGCAAAGATAGCATCCCTGGAAACAGCGTGCAGACCTCCCAGGGGCTGACGCTGACACCCAGTGAAGGCTGCATGGGGAAGGTGGGGGCTGCAGCTTCTTGCACTGGCTTATCCTGCAGCCAAGTTACCACCCCATACCAGCCGCAGCAGATGAGTTTCTGGCCAAGTCAGCCTGGGGCAATGGAAAGTGAGGAAGTGACTGGATCCCATCTGCACTCCCTGGAGCCTCAATGCTGCATCTGGGGCATGATGAAGGGTGCTCTTTAAGTCATCTCGAAGGTTCCTACCTCTTGGCTCCCAGGTATGAAGGATATCAAAGACAAGTGTACCAGAAAGCTCTAGAGATCAGATGAGGCATCAGCACACATTACTGAGACCTACCCTGTGACACAGTCATGTTCCGCTTTAATGCAGAGGCTCCTTACTCAGGTCCCCAGTGCCTGGCCAGATGCTTGGTTTGAGAGAAGATAAGCCAGTAGAGGGGCTCATCTGGCACAAACTGGGCAGCCTTCAACCTTCCCAGGGCAGAAGGACCTCCCAGGTTCCAGCTGGGAACAGGGTCAGGAGCATCCATCCCACAGGCCCTGGGGAAGCAGCAAATCTCTTCTGTGGGATTGTAGGACTACTTTTTAGGAGTCACCCGAGAGCTGGCAGCACCTCTATCCGTCATGCTCTTCACCTCTCCAGATAAATGAAAGTGGCCCCAGCGGGTGAGATCCCTTGAAGGAGACCCAAGGGCCTGTCTGCTGGGCTTACCTCACAATATTCCTCTGATGGGGCAGCCCCTGCCCTGAGCACACCCCTCCCAGTAGGAAGGAGCAGCTTCCCTTCCGCTTCCCCGCACACCCCTCCCAGTAGGAAGGAGCAGCTTCCCTTCCGCTTCCCCGCTCATCCCACCCTGGGGCAGCTTGCTGCTCAGCTGCTGGCCGCGCTCTATCTGCCCCTGGTTGCCAACATCTGCCTGGTTTGCTCTGATGCTGGGAGACCCTGGGCGTGCAGCTGACCCACTTCCTCCCCTGATCTCTGCTGCTGGAGGAGCTGCTTCTGGGCAGCCCATCTGACCACACTCCACTGGATCTCCCTCAGGCTCTTCTACCTGCGTTTTCTCAGGCCTGGTGGCCTAACTGGTCACTGACCCTGGGCCTGGCATTTGTGTGTGCCCTGGGTCTTGGATATTCACAGGATCCTGAACTCAGGCTGACTATAGATCACTCTACATCAATCTCGGGCCCTAGAACACTGTGTTTCCCCTCCTGCCTCTGCCACCCTTACCTGGCTCAGCTGACCTCTGGCACTGACGATCTGAGCTATGAATGGTTTTGGGGGGTATAGGACACAAGGAGGGGCATGGGGTGGAGTGAGGGCAAAGTGCCTCAGAGATGAGGCCAATCACTGAGGAACTGTGGCCTCACAGGTGGGTGGGTGTGCAAAAATGCAGGAAACATGGGTGGTGCTAAGGGAGACATGCATAGCTGCTTAAAATGGGTGGTGCCTGTTTTAAGATTTTGCTAGGTTATTTTAGAAAGGGTAACTGAGTTGTCTTTGGTAAACTTGATTTTGTAACTCTAAACCCTTTCACAAAGCTACTCTGTGTCTGAATCAAGTTTGCATTAAATGATGGAACCCTGCCTGCATGCAGTGTTGGGCCAGGCCCGGTGGGGAAGGCCCCCTGTGCCACGCAGCCCGGGCAGTAGTGAAGAGGGCACAGGCAGGCCCTCTCCAGAGCCTGTCCTTAGCGGCTGAGCACGACCTTGGCCAGCCGTGAGGGCCTCCCAAGTCCACCCTGTCCCTGCACCGCCCCCCACCTGAAGGCGAAGCACCGGCAGCTACTCACTGGCGAGGATGACCATGTCCATGCCCCAGAAGATGCTCATGACCCAACCCACCATGACGATGGCCGTGAGCATTTGGATGAGGGCTGCCGCGATGTTCAGCCAGAAGACGCAGCACACGTGCCTGTCCGGGAGGTCGGTGCGGGCCCCGCACAGCACGGTGAAGGCCGAGACGAATGTCCCTGTGAGAGGGCAGAGGGGACAGCCTTCTGAGGGTGCTGGGAGACAAAGGGCTCTGGGTGCTCACTGCCGGCCTGGGGCCCAGCTGTCTACCCTCCAAGAGCCCAGAGAGGAGCCCCTGGTGTTTGGCACCCTGTCCTCCGAGTGGCACCCCTGCCCAGACCCTTGCCACCTCTCATCTCCATACTGGACAGGTCAGTGGGCCACTTGGAGCAGGTATGGCATGGGGCTCCCAGGGGCCCCACACAGCCTTGGAACTTTTGGGAGAACAAGGAAGTCACATGACAAGCAGTCCCTTCTGGGAAGAAGCAACAGGGAAGCCATCTGCGATGACAACAGGCAGCTGGAAGGGGTGACTTTATGTGGCAAAGAATCCAAGAGCCAAAGAGTCCCAGGGTGTGAGCTGGTGTGTCTGAGTTAATACAGAAGCAACCTCAGAGGTAAATTCAGGAGAGGTGAAGGGCCAGGAAATAACCGCCCAGCACATACGCTGCTGGCTGAAGGACAGGAGTTAAGAGCCTGGGTGCCTGCACAGTCACAGACCAGGACAGGTATTCTAGAGCCTCTCCCTGACAGGGTTCCCCCAGGCACCCCGACCTATAAGGAGAGGGACCAGAAGTCTAAGCTCTATTGAGCATCCACAAGGTGCCAAGCAATGCGGTGGTTGCGGTCACATTCTTCACCTTGTCTAAGACACGGCCCCTGTGGGTAACATCACTACCTTTACCAAGTTAGGCCCCTTTCCTACATGGGCTCTGAGCCCTCCTGACAACAACTGTGCAGAGAATTAGCATTCTCCATATCTGTTGTAGTTTCTTATGGCTTTGGAACAAGTTACCCAAACCTCAGGGTTTAAAGCAACACAAATTTACTCTTTTATAGTTCTGGAGGTGAGAAGAGTCTGCAGTGGGTCCTCAGGGATGAGTCCTTCTGGAGGCACCAGGCGAAAATCCACTTCCTTGCTTTTTCCAGCTTCTAGAGGCCACCTACATTCCTTGGCTCGTGGCCCCTTCCTCCATCATCATCGGCAGCAATGTAGCACCTTCTACCTGACCTCTGCTTCTGTCTTTATATACTTTTACTGCCTCCTTTGTCAAGAACCCTTGTGATGGCATTCAGGACCCACCTGGGCAATCCAGGATGCTTTCCCCATCTCATTTAATTTAATCACATCTGCAAAGTGCATTTTACTTCATCAAGTTGCATATTCGAAGGCTTGGGGATATGGATGTGGACACCTTTAGGGGCCACTGTTTGCCTTACCACACTCTTACACACACACACACACACACACACACACACACACACACACAGAGAGAGAGACTCAGTGTGATGGTTAATTTTAGGTGTCAATTTGGCTAGATTGAGGGGTTTCTAGATGGCTGGTGGAGCACTGTTTCTGATTGTATCTGTGAGACTGTTTCCAGAGGAGACTGGCATGTGAGTCAGCGAGAGAGGAGACTTGCCCTCAGTGTGGGTGCGTGCCATCCAATCAGCCGGGGAATAAACAGGCAGTGGAAGGGGAATGTCTTCTCTGCCTCCTTTCCCCTTGCAGAGCAAGACGCTTTTTCTTCTCCTGCCTTTAGACATCACACTGCAGGTTCTCAGCTTTTGAACTCTGGAACTTGCACCAGCAGCCTCTTGGGGGCCTCTCGGGACTGACTGCGGCCGCACTGTCGGCTTCCCTGGTTCTGAGGTTTCAGACATGGACTGAGCCAGCTACCAGCTTCTCTGGCTCTGCAGCTCACAGTCATCCTATCGTGGGACTTCTCCATCTCTGCGATCATGTGAGCCAACTTCCCTCATAAATCCCCTTCCAGGGCTGGGTGCAGTGGCTCACGCCTATAATCCTAGCACTTTGGCAGGCAGAGGCAGGCAGATCACCTGAGGTTAATAGTTCGAGACCAGCCTGGCCAACATGGTGAAACCCCCATCTCTACTAAAAAATACAACAATTAGCAGGATGTGGTAGTGGGCGCCTGTAATCCTAGCTTCTTAGGAGGCTGAGGCAGGAGAATCACTTGAATCCAGGAGGCGGAGGTTGCAGTGAGCCAAGATCGCTCCATTGCATTCCAGTCTGGGCAACAAGAGTGAAACTGCATCTCAAAAACAAAAACAAAAAAAACCACTTCTATATATCCTACTTGTTCTGTCTCTCTGGAAAACCCTGAATAATAATCCCAGGAACTAAGCATCTTGTCCAAGGTCACAATTACAGGCGGGCATTGAACCCAGCAGAGTCTGATGCCAACACCATGCCCCTCTGCGCTGCCTCCCAGGTGTAGATGGTTTGTTAAAAGCAGGGCATTTGGGAAATTGGCCAAAAGACTGGTGACCATTCTCACGTTCCTCATTCTCTCAGTTCCCGCTCTTTGAGGCTGCCTTGTTTTTTATTTTGCCTCCCCCTCTGAACTAAGTCCACGTGCTGATTTCTGAAACCTAGCCTGTCTCGCTTTCCTCCTCCTGATCGTAACCACTGCCACCGACGTGAGGTCCCAGGTGCATCTCATTCTGGCCCTTCCCTGCCCACCTCACTGGCTCCTACAGTTTCCAGGTGTGGCCTTTGCTCTCGCTCACACCTTTGTGCTTCAGATCCAAGGCTGAAGGCTGAGTCCATGTGCTGATTTCTGAAACTGACCCTGCCTAGTTTTCCTCCTCCTACTCGTAACCACTGCCACCAATATGAGGTCCCACGCGCATTTCATTCACCTTCACCCCTTCAGCCCCTTGCACAGTGCCTTGTACACAGTAGGTGGCCTGTGGCATTCAAAGAAGTACACCCAACACCAAGTGTCTCTTCTGACCACCTGCCTCATCACCTGTGGCATTTGTTAAAAGCGCAAGTGCCCGGGTCTCACCTGATCTACCGAATGTCTAAGAGGAGACCCCACATCTGCATTTCTCAACAAGCTTCCCCTGCTGCCCTCCAAGGAATGATAATGCTCATGAAAGTGTGAAAACCGGGGATTCGAATCAGGCAACTCGATAACTACCCCCTCTGTGTTCCCTCCAGAGCCCCAGAGGCCCTGTGGGAGACCTGAGAGGCAAAGCTGCTCTACTCTCGCCAGGTGGACAGCCAGCCAGGGACACAGAGTGTGGGCTGGAGCCTCCTTTCTGGGGGATGAGGCTGCGGTGCAACTCTGGAGTCTCTATAGAGATTCATTCAGGAACCGAACTGGACCCCTGCCCTCAAGAGCTCACAGCGTACTGGACAAACTCATCACCCCACCTGATAGAGGAGGATGCTGAGGGCTGGCCGGGTTTGTAGGGGTAAAAGTGATGGGGCTGGGACTGCACCTCCAGACTCTTCCTACTGGAAGGAGAAGGGAGAGGATGGTACAGGGGGCAGGGTGGTGACAAGGGGAAGGTGATGGGGATGAAGACTGAGGACTGACTCATCCTCAAAGCCATTAGTAGAAGGCTTTGAATGTCTGGGTATGAGTTTGTCTCCCACCTGCAGGAAATGGACCTCTCACAAAGTTTTGAGCAGGAGAACGATGTAATGGAAGCAGGGATTTAAGAAAATTAATTTGTTGTCAGGGTGGAGTTGTTTTTTCTTTTTTTTTTTTTTGAGACGGAGTCTTGCTCTATCCCCCAGGCTGGAGTGCAGTGGTGCAATCTCAGCTCATTGCAACTTTCACCTCCCGGGTTCAAGCGATTCTCCTGCTTCAGCCTCCCAAGTAGCTGGGATTACAGGAATGCGCCAACAGTTCTGGCTAATTTTTGTATTTTTAGTAGAGACAGGGTTTCCCCATGTTGGCCAGGCTGGTTTTGAACTCCTGACCTCAATTGATCCACCTGCCTCAGCCTCCCAAAGTGCTGGGATTACAGGCGTGAGCCACTGTGCCTGGCTGGCAGGTGGATTTAAGATGTCTGAGATGGGAAAGATGAACTGGGAGGAGTAGGCAGCAGCTGAGAAATAGAGGGGATGTGGGCTCAGGGCTTGGTAGTGGACACAGGAGGACACGGGGGACTTAGGGACTGTTAGGAAGTGTGTGCCACCATCCTTTGCTTCTGCCAGTGCATCACACAGCAGAACCCAGACTTAAAGCCAATCTGTCTAGTGTAGAAGACTGAGTTCTTTTCAGCCTTGGGTGCTACATCCTTACATTAAAAAATAAGGTAAGAGGCCGGGCATGGCAACTCACACCTGTAATCCCAACACTCCCCAAGGCTGAGGCTGGTGGATCACCTGAGGTTAGAAGTTCGAGACCAGCCTGCCCAACATAATGAAACCCTATCTCTACCAAAAATACAAAAATTAGCTGGGCATGGTGGCACATGCCTGTAGTCCCAGTTACTCAGGAGGCTGAGGCAGGAGAATCGTTTGATCCTGGGAGATGGAGGTTGCAGTGAGCTGAGAACACTCCACTGCACTCCAGCCTGGGTGACAGAGCAAGACTCCATCTAAAAAAAATAGTAATAAGGAAAGAACCTTCATCCTTAATGGTTTTCAGCTATCCTTAAACCCACTCCTTCCCCTCCCCGTGTCCTTTATGGGAGGCCCTAAATTAGACGGTGTTCTGATCTCAGGGATGCAGTGTCCCCTGATCCCCCAACTCAGTGGGAGCTGACTGAGACCCAGTGACCCTCTCTGTGAGACTCTGTGGCCTCACCTCACTCTTCCGGCATAGGAAATGGGAACAGTGGTCCATGTTCTTTCCTGTTTTTCATACCGTATGAAACTGGCACTTCTACAGGTCAAGAACAACTGAATAATAAAAGCCTTATGTGTATATGAAAGTTTCAAGCATAAGGAGACTTTGACCTTGAACTCAGAGATTCTTAAGAACGTTGTCTAGTTCATCTTGTCAAAAGAGGAAATCTCACTGGAATTGCCAAAGTAATTAGAGGCCAGTGAGCTGAGTACCTGCCTGCTCCCTGTGGAGTGGGGAAGGCCTGGAGCCCAGTGCTCTGCAGATGAGCAGGGCTGTGCAACATGGATGATGCTTAGCAAAGGCTTTGGCGTCTATGTTAGAAAAAGCTGGGCTGGCCCACAGTC